CATACATATTCAGCTGCATTCCCCCCCACATTTTCACACCACTCTAGAGTCTTCAACAAGGAGAAGCAGCACTTTGAATTATCAATCAATAACCGTCTCCAGGTTAAAAATGACCCGGAGACATTTATTGACTGATTCTGCATCCAACATTGGTACTGGTATTCAACAACACGCCACTGCACCCACATTTTACATACACATTCATGACTCCGAATGAAGAAAAGTCATTACATTTCATGGTGCGAGGGAGAAGTTAATTAGTTTTTTAAAGCTAAAATGGGTGAAATTGACCTGCAACATAATAGAGGAGTTAAAATAGACATTTGCACAGTATGAGAGGCTGTTTAATGTCATGAACAGCCCACAGCAAAGCTCTTTTCTCTCTCTTTTTTTTTTCAATTTCCACTTTGCTTTCACATGATATTTGTGTCAGAGCGTAAACTAGCTGCATGAAGCTGTTACCCTCTTTCTCTTCTATAACTGCCAAATTACACTGGACTTTCTGTCACACAGCATAATCACTTCACTTAAACCTTTTGTCCATAATTACATTTAGTTATTGCTCGTTTATGGCATGATTCATCTGTTTGAGGCTTATTAAATCTCAGTCCCGCCATGGTGTGAAAAGCACAAGCCCCGGCTGCAGTGTTTGTTGTTCTGCCCTCTGCACGAGTAAGACTACACGCTAGGTTATGTACTAAATTGGGTAACTGTCCAGTGATAGCAGATAAACACCTGCTCGTACACATCATCTTGAGCCGGAGAAAGACGGGGAACCGCTTTAAAACAACAAACATTTGGACCAGTGATCGATCCAAGACAAGGGATTTGGATTTTAAAATGTCAGCGCTGAGAAGCAAGAGAAAAGAATATCTAAGTGTGAAGGATTTGCAGAAGCTTTTGGACTCTTGCAAGCTGCACCTCAATCAAATTGACGAAGTGTGGCCGAACATATACATAGGAAATGTGTAAGTATGTACTTTTATTTCAGATGATTCGGTTGCCTTGCAAAGGCTGTTTTCTTTGACATAACTGCTTCCACGTATTGTTTCATTCTGGCATAAAAATCATTGTGCTGTGATGCGTAGAGTTCCCATAAGTCTTGAACCTCTTTCTGTCTCTTTGTCTTGCTAGGGCAGTAGCCCAAAACAAGGCTGCCTTGCTGAAATTAGGTATAACTCATGTATTAAACGCTGCTCACTCCAAGCGAGGCAGCATAGGGAACCAAAGCTTTTATGGCAACGACTTTGTGTATTGTGGCATTCCAGCAGATGACTCGACACACTTTGATCTGGATGTTTACTTTCAGCCTGCAGCTGATTTCATTCACAAAGCTCTGAAGTCACCTGATGGTAAGACTCCTTGAGGCTTTTAATATAGTATTACAAGTGCTACAGTTTTCCTTTCTCAAATCCCTGTATATCACATCTTTTATTTAACTCTGCAAATCCTTATTACAGTAAACCCACTCATTCCACTCAAATTCTCCCACCACGCTGTCCTTTCAATGTCACCTGTCAGCACAATGTAAGACAGCTTTAAGTGTATTTTCAGCCAGCTGTAATAATAAGAGTCTTACCTTGCAGAATTTAGGCATATAATGTGACCATGGCTCTTTTCAAAGAAGCTATCAAGCAGCGGACGGGTTGGGATTAAGGAGACAGTTGGGCCCAGTCTGCAAAGGGACCTTAAATGAACAAAGAGTGAATTGTAGGCACTATTTTTAGCTCGCAGCAGGGAAAAAGAAAGACCACAGCGTGAGACGGGCAGTCATGTATGATATTAATAAGTCTGAGGCTTCTCGCTAATCCTTTCTTCACAACCCTCCCTTCATCTTGCCTGTTCTTCAGGGAAAGTTCTGGTGCACTGCATCATGGGAATGAGCCGGTCATCGACCTTGGTTTTGGCATACCTCATGATCTACCATCATCTCCCACTCAAACAGGCTTTGCAGAAGCTGATCCAGAAAAGAGCCATCTACCCCAACAGAAATTTCCTGGCTTTGCTGTTGGATCTGGATCTTCAACTGACAAAGAAAAAGAAAACATGTCGGATCCTGTAGTGAAAAGAGGCATTTACATCTTCAGCCACAAAGCCACGCGGTGGTTTCTGGGAATAACGATGCCAGCCAGTCTGTCGGTGCAACAGTCCAGACTGAAACGTTTAGACGCATCATCGTGAAATTTGGTTCGACTGAGTGGATTTCTGTCGACTCAGCTGTCCACATCACTAACAGAGATCAAAGTTGCACAAATCACACAGAATAAACTATCAGTGCTTGTTTTTATATTTATATGTTACTGAAATGCCAAACGTTAATGGCAGGAGACAAACTCTGTACACTCATTAGTCTTTACTTTTATTATGATGAGGTTCACCATTCTAAACAAGC